GATAATTTAGTAAATATTTTTTAGATCATAGTTTCTGCTGATATACAATTGTTAAAAAAATGTTTTTCAAGCTTGATTACAACATACACAATGTTAAAAGTCTGATGCCAATGAACTATTAATTCATATTATAATTAAGATAACAATAAATATCATATTTCTTTTAAGCACATCCATTCAAAAAATTATAATTTTATTGGAGGAAGGGGGACTACTATATCTCATTATGTGTTTCTTTAAGATATATTAGACTCATTCTTTCAAGAGACAACGCAATATTGTTGTAAATATAGAGATGCAATATCATGGAGTTTATAAGAAAACAACCAATATGTAAAATTTGTTGTTAAGAGTTCTTGAAAACCTGCTGTCAGAAAAGCCATTAGCAAATAGCATAATGATATCCAAGCACGTTGCACATATTACAATGAAAATTCAACTTTTAGTTACAAGAAATTTTTATACATCTAGTGATCTATATATATATTTTGATGATAATGACTTCATTTTTTTTTAAATTCCAAGACTTTAAAATAACTTGTTAGTTTAAAATGAGTCATTTTATTATTAGTACAATTTTTACATTCGCATGCATGTCATCAATACAAACAGAATGAGCAAAAGAGATGCAACTTTTAATAGATGCAATTTTTACATCACAATACATGCATATAGCTTGTGACTTAAAAGAAGATTGAAGCTTTTACCCTCTTTAGGATTAGCAAACTTGCCAAGATTTTGAGCACAAGCAATAGACATTCTAGTAGCTCTGGCTTCAAATGCTTCGAACACTACTTTTGGCTTCAACCAATCCTCGGCTGCAGGGAATAAAAACAAGTGTAATATTACAATTCATAAAGGACATGTACATGGTTATAATATTAACGAAAATAGTATTTGATTTGGATATATATTATGAAACTAATATAGATAGAGTTTGCATAACCTCTAATTCTCCTAGTACCTTTTTTAACATCAGAGTGATATTGCATTAGTTGGTCCAGTCGAGCCAAGTATGTTGTGGTACCAATAGGCTTACGTCCAGAGCTCAACTGAGAAATAGTCTTCATGAGATTTTATAGAAGTTCTCAAAAACCAACCTAATTATTTAAAAAAAAAAAAAAACCTAAAGCAGAATGCACAAGGATGTAATATGAAAGGACATTGGTAGACATATATTAGACATGAAGTTAAGAGAGAGCACAAGTTTTCCTTCTTTGGTCACAAGTGGACCGGCGTAGGCATGCGGTGAGTGAGCTAGTTACCTTTGGTCGTGGACGGTGAATGAGGCTCGGTAGTTCCTCCGTTGTTATGGCTGATGCAATTTCCCTTCATTGTGACCTCTGATGATGCCATTTCCACATAGCTCACCACAAATGTCTCATTCGCAAAGTTCCTGGTGGAATTCTACAACACCTTTAAACATAGAAAGTTTGGAATTGATGCGAATGGCGTAACCTCAAAGCTTGGAAGCGAGAAAAGAAGTCGTGAGCGAACAAGGGTTGTGTGGAGCGCGAAGGATTTGTTCATCTAGTGTGAATGCAAGAGCGCGAAGGGTTTGTTCATCTAGTATGAAGACAATGAGGCTCATCTTTTGTCTAAATTTAAAATGAACTTTTAAGATCCTTAAAAGTGACACGTGACATTTTTGTAAATAAGGTTATAACTTTTAAGATCAATCACATTTTAGCCAATTTTAAAAGTTAAGATCGGCTAAAATGTGATCGATCTTAAAAGTTATAACTTTATTTACAAAAATGTCATCATGTCACTTTTAAAATCAGTTAAAATATGATCAATCTTAAAAGTTGTTACTTTATTTACAAAAATGTCACCGTGTCACTTTTAAGATCGGCTCTCTAATAATCGATCCTAAATTCCTGATCTGGAAACTAATTTTTGTACTAATGCATAATTTACATCACATCCAATCCAATTTCATGGGATTCAAGAAACCTAAAAGAAATACCAATTTAGGCAAATGCACAAAATTAATCAATTCATCCTAGTAAGGTAAATTATTCATCAGAGTACTCAATCAAATGGACCAATCCAAATAATTAAACAACGCATCTTTTAGGGTATTCAAAATCCCGATAAACACATACAATTCAATCCTAAAGAGGTTTAAGGATCATCCCACTACCTAAAATTTCAATTTCATAAACATGACGAGATAAAACTCATTCCTTTGCCTTGATAGTGTAACCTCTAAAGTAAAGACACTACAAGGAAATTGTCGTATAGTGATACACATCCTATAGTGACACAATAAGTGTCACTAAAAACTACTTTTACCTACACAATAAATATAATATATGTTAGTATATTGTTAAAAAGTGTAGGTATAAGCTATAATGACACACAAAATATGTTGTTAAATCTAATTCAAAATCAACACTAAAATTGTGTGTAGTTATATATCAAATAGATATATACCTACATATATTATACTTATAGCGAAACTTTTTGTATGTCACCTTTCTAACACTCTTAACATGTTAAATGATGAGTTGGACTTCTAGAATCCAAGATTCGCCACCTAACTTCAAACCAACACAACCTACTTAATCTACTTTATTTTAATTTCTTTTTTTGTTCGTCCTTGGAGTATCCACCGCCGATAGCAGTGACTAATCTCCTCGCTACGTTGGAGGCACCTCAAAGGGTAGGATAGCTGGCCCAAGATTTAACGCGGCTGCATACACAAGGCAGGATTCGAATCCCTGACCTTGCTTAAGCGTGAATCAACCCCTACCGCTGAACCACACGCTTGGGGTTACTTTATTTTAATTTTTTGCAAAGTGCTTATTTAATTTATTTTAAAAACCTTACTAAATAAATTAATTATTTAAGCTAATAAAATAAATCACCTACATTACAATTATATTATTATTTTAAAAAAATAAGATGTTACATTATACATATCTAGGACGACTATTATAAATTGATTGTTGAGTCAATTAGACTATACATAAGAATCACTACACCATTTCCTCTCTCATTAATTACAATACTTACACAACATATGAAACACCATACACACCTTACATCTTTAATGGCTACTGAATCAATTGCCAAAGTGTATGATCTTCATCCACTTTAATGCATTATTCTCTTAATCATTTCAAATTGTCTTTACTATTTTGCAAATTTCTTCTCCTCATCTTAAACTTCTTTGATTTCTCATCCTGTTGTATTTATATTATTTTTTTTCTAATTTCTCACCTTCTTCTATTTACTTTTACTGCAACTCTGATATATAATTTCCTTTTACATTTACTCATTTTTACTTCTATCTGCCTTTTACTTTTTATTTTATCTTAAATTTAAGTGAATAACTAGATAACAACTTCAAATTAGTTAAGTAAATAATTCATGTACAAGTATTGATACTTGTTGAATTGGATGATATAGTCATAATTTTAACTTTTGATTAAACAATCAAGTTTACTTTTACAAAAGAATTATTTAAGGAGTTGGTGGTTGGATTTTGGTTTTAGTTTTCAAATTAATTAACCCAGTTCAATATTTACTCGAAAAGAATTAATATTTCAACAACAATTTTATGCTTAAATGTTGGACTCTTAGTCAATTTTTGATTGAGTGTCTTTTTAGGCAAATAATCAACAACTTCACTAAGTTTTCAAAGAGAGTATGTATGACTTTTTGGCTTAGTGCTTTTAGTCTTCCAAATTATCTTAAATAATACTTCAATAGAAGTGAAATTGATTGTTTAATCAAAATCTAAGGATCATGCCTAAATCATCCAGCTTTACAATATAAATTTTTTTACATGAATATCATTTACTTAACGGCTAATAATTAATTCAAAATTGCTCTATTAATCTTAATTAAGGATTCAAAGTAAGTCTCGATCAAAAGTTAACAAGTGTTGTTTAAATATGATTCAAACGAAAAGTAAAAAAGAAAAAGGTGAGAAACAAGAGTGCAAACTGTGCAAGTAATGCTAATTGCATGAATTGTAAAGTGCTTGAAATGTAAATTGCTGGAAATGTAAATAGAAGGAGATAGGAAATCAGAATCGAATGAAACGTAAATTGCTTGAAAATAAACAAAGACATGACAAATCAGAAATTGGCAGAAAAGTAGAGTGAATTAAACTGGTTATAAACATACATATGATGATCTTCAATTTAGTAGTCATTATGAGTTTTAAACTTGTGTGGTGTTTCATATGTATATGTAAATGTTTAACCAAATGAAATGAAGTAGCGGTTCTTTATTTGTAGTTTAATTGACTCAAATAGTCAATTTATAATAATAACTTTAGATATATTAATTGTCTATTCTTTGATTTTGCCATGTGTCCAAAAAGCTTTAACTTCCAAAAACTGTTAAAATTTACCTATTTGGAGCGCAATTCGGTTTGACATAAAAAATGTGCCTTTCTCATGAATGTCTTTGAGTTGTAACTGTTTCTTTAATCGAGATCTGAAGTTTTCATATTTAGCGTCTTCAGGCTGCATCATTCTATTAATTTGAAAGTATTTTCGAATATCGTCTTCAAAAAAAAAAAAAAAAAAACTTCAAACAAACAATCACTTATAACTTAACAAATTTTCATGTCATATTCGTATAATGCGATTTCAATAGTTTTTTGTAGTTGAAAATATTGGAATTCTTTTTTAACTTCACCCATTAGGATCTTTAATTATATGTTAGTCTCTATTTTCAAAATATCCTTTGTAAGGTCATTTTGCTTGTTTTTTCATATCTTCTATTTCTTTCTCAAAAAGGATAAAATCTTTTGCCAAGTTTTTCTATTTTGACAAATATCAAACCAAAAGGACCTATAGAAATTAACATCTTCTTATCATCACTTAAAATATTTTTCCAAGTGACTCCAACATAAGGATAACTCGAAAGGCTAATTGAACAAATTAAGTCAAAGGTTCATACGTACTCAAGTAAAAAACTTATAAAGTTTTTATTCAACAAAAAAAAAACTCATAATCAAACATAGAGATTCTTACACTTAAATATTTATTTGTTATTTAAGACTTCAAATTTATTTCAAACAATTAAAACTTACACCAAATTTCTCAACCAACAATGTATATTATTTTGTTGACTTTCAAATAAGATTGCAAATTAAAGCTTCAAAATGACTCCTTCTTTACACCAAAAAGAAATGATCGCATCAATTAATTATTCAAAATGATGAGACAACAACGAATTAAATACTAGGCTAGGCTGGGCTGGGATGTCGATGCCACTCGCTAGCACACTCCAACCACCACTGAGTGACGACCTAAAATTTGATGAGAACACAAATTAAGATATAAATATATGCTTAAAAAAGAACAATTTAGCTCGAAAAATAGCAACTCATTAATCTCACCTATAGAAAAAGGATAATTGTTATCGTATATTTATTTTCTCTTTTCGCTCACTTCTATCATATTTTTATTTTTATTTTATATCAGGTTATTTATTACTTATATCAATTTCTTTTTATCTCTCTTTGTTTAGCTCATACACTAGCTCTTAAAAATGAGCTTCCTTCAACATTTTTTTCAAGTAAAAAGGTCACTGTATTCAAGAAGATAACGAATGGTATATATATATATATATATATATAGATAGATAGATATAAAAAAGAAAAATGTTAAATTTTTACATTCCATTTCTAGGGTATATGAGAGAAATGAGAAATAAATAAAAATAAAAAAATAAAAGAGAAAGTGAAACATGTAGAAAATGATGGGATAAAAATGTAAAGAAAGACGAAATGGAAGAAATTTTAGACATGTTTATGAATATTTGAATATAATAAACCTATATATAAAGTGAAATATTGTTATTTACTTCTATAATCTTACATTTCTTTTTACAGTTGTCATTTATTTTAAACAGATAGAAGTTGGATTGGTTTTTAATTAATTATTTTACAAATGATAGTAAATCTATGTAAGGAGTAGGTATATACTAGTGTAGGTGTAGAAATGTCATCTTTAAAAGCATTTGATTTCTTATGAAAAACTTGACAAACTAGTTCACGATTGATAATATATAATGGCGATTAATCTAACAATATAAAAACACATACAATAACAGTTAAATTGTGTTTAAGGACTTACGTACCAGTAACCACCAAATCCATCTTTCAAGAATCATCAAGAGAGAAAAAATGGTCATTATTGGAGCAATCCACGAGAGGTATTATGTCAGTAATTTTGCGGTCTTCACTTAGTGGATCACACATTCTTTTCATAAACTGGTCATGCATATCATAGAAATAAAGCTTCTGAAGAAATTTCAATTTCAGCAAATCTCTTGGCACCTGCACCATTTCATGGCATTTCCCTATCTTCAACTTTGCAAGATCAGGAATTGCTCCTTCATCAATCTTTATGGTCTTCAACCTAGGCATGGACGCTAGGTGCAAAACCTTTAGGCTTTTCAACGATCCATTCATGAAATGCAATGTGTCACCTCGATAAGTGTCGCAAAACTCAAGGTGCAACAATTTTGACAAGCCTTTAAGGAGAGGTAATGGATCTTCCTTTAGATTAGACCACCTCAAGTATAATGTGGTAAGATTTGGAAGATTTTGTATCCAATTTGGAAGTCCTTTTAAACGCCCATACAAGTAAAGACGTTGGAGGAATGATGGAGGATTCTTGAAAGAATGTTGCAACTGAAGCATTCCATCATTTCCCATAGCTCCAATGCTTAGGGAACATAGACGGGTCATGTTCTCTATAGCCTGGCATAGAGTTTCTCCATACATTTCTCTTAGATTTGTAATGCCCAGTTTCCTTAACTTGCTTAATTGTTTTAGTTCCTCTATTATGCTTATTGAAGCATCACCTACATCCAAAAATGATAGTTTCTGCAGTGATTCTAGATTTTTGAGCCCTTTATTCAACTTCACTCCTTGTAAATCTTCCAGATTTGAATAATGATTTTTGATATAATAAGCAAGTAGATGGCGCAACTTGGTTAGGTTCTGAATCCCCTCCGGTAGTTCATGCACTCGAGTTTCCTTTAGGTCTAGGGTTTGCAGGTTCTCTAGGTTGCCAATGGACTTTGGAAGTGACTTGATATTGGTGTTCCTCAGGCTCAAGTATTTCAAGTTCAATAGCTCTCCAACTTCTTTAGGAAGATCACCATCAAGGAGTGCATTAGACAAGTCTAATCCAATCAAAAGCTCAAAACTGGAGAAAAATTGATTGGTCACAAGCCACTTCTCAGCATCATCGAAAACAAAACAAGACCTCACTTTCCCCCATTTTTCGGTTCTACTTTCCCTCATTCTAGCATTGTCATTCTTCTTCATCATTATTGATAAGCGTCTAGTAGTTTTGAAGTGGTCGGGTGGTGTGATTCTATCTTTCATTACTTCATAAGACATTTGCTCCTTACAAATATTAGCTATCAACCCATGCATGAGGTCATACACGTGGCAACTTTTCGGTCTTCCATCAAAATCCACCCTTGAAACATGAACCAAGCATTTCCGGACAAGTTCAACCAAGTATTCATTTGCAGTTTCCTCCATTGATGTGTTTTCAGTATCTCCTTCTACAAAACCCTCCGCAACCCACAAACGAATGAGTCTCATGCAACTAATGGAGTAGCCCTCAGGGAAAAGGCCAAAGTATAAGAAGCAAGCCTTGAGGTGGGAAGGAAGATCTTTGTAACTTTCTAACATCATTTGTTGAACATTTTCAAGATGTGGGTTACTTTGCAATAGTGAACCAAGTTGGTTGAGTACCTTTCTCCATTCAATAGCAGTTTTCTTAGTTGAAAGGAGACCAGCAATATCCACAATAGCCTTTGGCACCCCATTGCATTTTTTCACAAACTCTTTGGACAAATCTGTCAATTCAGGGAATTGCACTTGCTCAAATTGAAATGCCTTCTGGTAAAAGAGCTTCAAAGCATCTTCTGAAGACAAAGGATTTTGTTTGTATAATTTGACCAATATATCACTTCCAATATACTCTGCAACATTTTCATCACGTGTAATGAAAATAACCTTTGTACCGCTTTGGCTTCCAGATGAACGTATGACATGTTTGATAACATTCCAAAGTTTTAATTTCGCATCATCAAACACAATGAGGCACCTCTTATCCATGAAGTATTTTCCTACATTTGATATAAGATCTTCTAGAGCTGGATTTGTTGCTTCACTCCCTAATGAAGGTGCACTGGGATCCTCCTCCCGAATTTTATTTATAATTCGCCATATTAACATATTTGCATCATCATCTTGAGGCCGAGACAAGGTTATCCATGCACAAAACTCAAAATTTCCCTTCTTATTTTTCGTTTTCGTCTCTTGGCTAACATACACATTTTTCACAATTGTCGTTTTACCTTGTTAAAAAATATCGAAGAGAAATAAAAATGTTATTGAACAATATGTATAATTAAAGCTTTGACATTATTATACACTGACGTAAAAAAAAAAAGCATTTATACCTTTGTGTAATTTTTAAAAATAAAAATGAGTTGCTAATAATAAAAGGATTTGAATAGTGATAAGTTTTAGGATAATTCTAGTTGTAAGAATAGCTTTTAAACAAGGTTTAAAAAGTGAAATTTACGGAAAAGTAAAAAAAAAAATTGGTGGAGAGAGAAAAGATAGTTGGAGAGGTAGTTATAGGAATAAAAATATATATATAAAAAACTATATACATAAAATGAAATAGTTTCCTTCTTCATCAGTATAGATGAAATGTGGAATTTATCTAAGAATTGCTCTAACTCTCATCGAACAACCCGCAACAAAAGATTTTTTTTCTTTATAAACTAGTTATTTTAATTGAGGAAATTTTATTAGCCCATTTTAAAGAATCTATAATATGACATATATAATGTGTTAAATAAAACAAAGTGGATTGTAGATGGATAGGATTAATGTTTTTCTCTACTTGCAAGTATTTCACGTATTTTTCAATTATGCTTTAATTTAAGAAGCATAATTATTCTAAGATATCTTATTAATTTAGACATAAATTTAAAAACAAATGAAAAATATATATTTGAAATTATGAAAAATATTTTATATTTCGGTAATCACATTTGAAAGTGTAGATCCTCTCATAATCTAATATCTTATTGAGTTATGTATGTGTCTTTGACTTTGATTAACAAATGTAACATTAATTCAGTTTTTCTAAAATTATAATGTAATTATAATATAAATTTTATTTTAATGGTTTGAATTAATTTAGAACACTCTAAATTTTATAAAATCAATAAAATAATTTTAAATTAATTAATTGAATTTTCAAAAATAATTATACAGACTTTTATATAATTATGAGTGTTTTAAATTAAAGAAAGGTTACAAAATCATTTGTATAATGGTTATGAGAAAAGTATGTGTTTTATATTTATTATGTTTTATTTTATTAAGAAAAAGAGAGTTTTGTTTGAAAAGGGAGGTTTAGATAAATGATCAATTTTAAGTTTCTCTTCTCACCTACACTCCTTAATTTTCTTTGAAACCCGAGAGTTTCAAAAGGAGAATGCAGAGGCTACATAAGCACAATTTTAGAGGTTCCCGTTCATCATCAAATGTCTATTAAGGTAAAGGAAGGTAAATAATCTTACTTTGGGGTGTGAGTTATATGATGGATAATGGGATTAACCTCTAATCCTGTTGTTTGTTCTTTTGTACTTTGTGACAGAAATCCTAAGCTTAATTTGTATGTTGGAAATATGTGTTTTATATGATTCTTTTATTCTTTATGTATATTAATTGTGTTGCATGTATCATGAATTGCATCTTGATTTGATTGGTTGTGAATCTAAGTTCTTGTAGTTATTTTAGGAAACCCTTAATTAATTTATAAAGCATGAGGAAGATTCATAAAAATTAGTGGTGTTTGGTATAGGGATGTTTGCTTGATGTAATTGGGAACCTCATTGTATAGAATTAGGCTTTATTCATGATTTTTACAATTAGATTGCAAGTTTTGGAAATAAGGTTAACTTATGTGATTTTTGCACATTTTGTAGTTTGGGTCGAAGCTAGTGTTGCACTGGGTGCAAATTTATGACACTAGGGATGATAATTTCTATCTCTATTTCCTTTGTGCGAGGTGCTAAAAAGGTTTTGTCAAGTGCCATTTGATGTTATTTTTGCGTAAGTTTCTTGTTGGGCCTAACATCAATATCAAGGTTTCTAACCTCTACATTATGTGCAAAAAATGCCACATTGGTCATGATAAAGTTAGAATTAAGTTTTGTGATCTTCATAATAGTTGTAACCTTAGATGTTAACTTTTCAATAGAGTTGAAATCACTCAAAAAGAAGGTCTAGAACTCCAATTATGATCATTTGGTAAGTAGATGTCAAATTGTCAAATTTAGGCTGAAATGTTGCGATTTTGTAATTTTTAAAACATAGTAGATGATAAAATTAACTCTTAAAATCAACATAAAAGTTGTAAATAATTGTCTTAACTTCCTAAAAAAATTAAGATCAACTTGATAACATAGATATAACTATAGATATTATGTTTGAATCACACATGGTCATATTAATTGAGTTATGAAAAGACAGTTTGCGAGTAGTGGTGGTGAAGTATTTTACCTTTAAGTGTTTAATCTTGGAAATTATTTGAAATACCTGTATCAATATTTAGGAAAGAGAAATTATGGGAGAGAACAACTATGAATAAGTTATGATGTGAGTTTGAGGTGATGTGAGTTTGAGGTAATGTGAGGGAAGATTAGTAAGTTATGTTTGAGGTACTTTGATGATGGTTAGCTTATGGATACAACACTTATCATAATAATGGTACGAAGGTGTTTAGGTTAATGATTGATAGTGACGTATAATCTTACAATGACTCAATTTAAGGTATTGTCGAAAGATGTTATGGACATTATTATGTTTGAGCTATGAATGTGTGACCCTTGCATTTTATACAATGTGTTGTGCTTATACTTAGATCATTTGATGGTCACATGATGTGAAGTCCAAGCCAAGGCTTAGCATGGTTAAAAGTTTTGAGCATGAGTGCCTAGTAGTGATGTGATTAAGGATGTGGCATGTGCTTATGATATAATGTGAACTATGCATCGGGTCTTGTGTGACATATATCATGAGTATATAGTGTTTTGTGTGTGAAGGGTATGATGTGGAATACACTGCTAGGGAAGGCCCCCTTGTGTGAGCTTGGGGATTCATGACCTTTGGGATAGTCAGGTTTGGGAGCCCTAATTCTGCTCATTTGTGTACATGGCGTGAAACTTGGCTGACATTACTATCGTGATGCACCTTGGTATATCTCTTCCTAGTGTAGAATGTTGTGATGACTTAACCCAACATGTTCTCCTAAGCTACTTTATGTGTGCCTTTAAACATGGATAAAGTGTTTTATTGGCACTAATGGATCATTCATAAGAAAAACAATTAATGAATTCCTGGCCATCTTAAAAAATGTAGCCTCAAATTACAGTCAATGGTGTAGTGAAAGAAAAAGGCCATATAGAAAAAAACATTCTTAGGAAATATGAGGTAATGTAAATCTTTTGTTGGAAAAATCTGATGCATCAAGCCAGAAGATCGACAAAGTAGAAAAGGCTAAAGTTAATTTAGTAGGATCATTAATGCTCTCATGTGACCTATGCGGAATGCAAGGCCATTTTGTAGTTGGCTGTCCTACTATCATCACCGATGGGAAAAAAAATCAAGTTAAGAATATGGCCACTACACACAACTTTTGTGGCACACCCAAGAGGGAGAAATTAATATGATCCATACTCAAACACTTAAAATTCAAGATGGAAGGCTCACCCAGGATTCTCTTGGAAAAATAATCAAGGATTAACACTACAAAAAATATGCAATTTAGCGACCACCAAAATCGGTCGCTAAATTGTAAAAATCGGTTGCTATTTACCTTAGCGACCGAATTAGCGACCGAATTTATTCAGTCTCTAAAACCCTGGTCGCTGAGCTATTTAGCGACTGAAAAATTTTTGGTCGCTATTTAGCGACCGAAAATTTTGGTCGCACTTTTCTAATTCCCATTACAAATTAAATATGTATTCTACATTTTCCAAAACCTAGCTTACAGGCACTTTTCTATAATTTCGTTTTCTCTCTCAGTTCAACATTGTATTTCTAATCCCATTATAATACAGAATCTAATGGGAAATATTCTAATTTTTCCAAAACCTAGCTTACAGGCACTTTTCTATAATTTCGTTCTCTCTCTCAGATCATCATTCTTACAAATTAAATATGTATTTCTAATCCTCAATACATACAGAATCTAAT